AGACTGCCATAAAACCTCAAGATCGACAGTTAAATGCCGCCATAAGGTCGAGGAATACCACTTTTGTGGGATGTCTGAACGTGTGCCTTTGTTCTGGTCATCATCTATCCAATTAGCCGCGCTACGTGAGCATTGAAGGCACCAGCCACTACTACTACATACAAACGCTTGGCCTTTTGAAGAAGGTTGGAAAGCTTTCTGTAAAATTCACGTTTTACCACACCTGGACTGCAATCAGTCAGAGCGTAGGCAGAGACAATGAAGAGGCAACGGCGAGTGTCCCTATCTTTTCGAATTCTTACTGTCCCGTTCAGTCGGACAGCGTACAAGCGACTGTTTATTGGAATTCGATATTAGAGAGTTAGTTCTATTTTAAAATTCAGTGCTATATCTACACCAGCGAGGCGACGGATAGTAGCAGTGGGACTCTCAGATACACAAAGCCTATGTCGCGACAGTTTCTTGTATTGGAAAGGTGAGGTCAAATGAATGACTGGTCTCAGATACGCAACATACATAGATGGCATAAGACTCTAGAGTCCTAGCTAAGGAAGCTTCTTGTCTTATTTAGAACAAGGTCCGAGCATTGAAAGCTCCAACGTGTGGTTTAGAGAGTGGATTCAGGAGACCAGGAATAACTTATCGTGTAATCGAATCGGCTGCATCGGCAGCGCGAGGTGATAAAGCAACGTAAGAATGGTTAATTGTGGAGATAAGAGAGTTATTAGGAGGTGTGGGAAGAATTTGACTGTGACCAATTCGGTCTCGTGTGCTGTTACGAGTATGAAGGCGGACATCACTTCTCGGATGCCCACACCGTCGAAGGGTGCTTCTTGACGAACCTGAAAATCAAATCAAGTTAGCGACCTGGGAGCGTGGTCTCAGAAACCAAGGTACAACTGCTTGAGGCCGGTCACGCAGAGAATGTTTCAAACAACTTTTATTATTTATTGGGATCACTATAACAATTTCTCCCTATATGATAAAGAAAAGTTACGTTTGACTGTCGTAACCACTGGCCCAAATTATAAGAGATGATATGATTAATCCACACACAAGAATGAATGGATTTAAAATAAGGGTCAATAATCTTATTTATTTACTCAGAATTTTCCTAAAATAATAATATAAGAAAAACGTATCGAGCATATAAATCCTAAATCTTACTTGAAAAAATAAAACATAATGAATGATATGAATACCAGTGTTGGAACAATCAAAGATAAATTGAAATCTGCACAATATCGATTTTAATTACTCCTTGTTTGTCAATATTAAAAATACTAATTATAGAAGTCGATGAGCCAATTTTTGCACCAATCATCGAGAAATACTTTGTGGCATTCAAAAACGAGAATGGATGTAGCAAAATCCACACACACACACACACACACGTGTATGATGAAAATTAGTAGGATACGTCAAGAATTCTTTGTTTTCATTGAAATCTTTTATCGATCAGATTGTAGATAAGTAAACGTGTGTGAGAGATAGAAAAAATAATCTATGGTCCAGTGTCATATGATTTTAAAATATAAGCGGGTGTACATTCAGCAGATGGATGGCTTCACGATAGTGATAGCAGTAATAATAACGGCAAATAAGATTTATAAAAGAGAAAACACTGAATTTTAGGACGACAATAAAAATTATTCTATCAATCGGTTTAGCAAATCGACCTCGTTCAAGTACCAGTATTGATATTAAATTTACAGTATATACATAGGCATTTCCAAAAACACCTTAGTTCCAAAAGGCTCGGTGGGTCTACTTTTACTTTCAAAATCCTCTTATACGCGTTTACAGTCTGAGTCAGAGGAGTACTATTTATTCCCTTAACCGGTTAAGTTTTTACAACAGTGAGAGGATGAGAAACGGACGTCCGGTACTGAGACCGATTTGATGGGTACGATGGATTCATCAAGGAGAATCGGAGTAACTTGATTTCATAATGGTAGAATGAGACCCATGATCCTGGAAGAATAGAAGATGTATGGACCGATTTTGATCAGCAGCTAGTGTGGCATTGCGTCTTTTTTACAACAGTGAGACGATGAGAAACGGACGTGCGGTACTAAGACCGGAGACGGAGATCCGTGGGATAAGATGATGTGTGACATTTTTAGGGTTGACCTTTTCTAACCCTTCCTTCCTTGTGAGAAGGCAGCATCGCTGCAGATACTGGTTGTCCGAGGAAAACACCTTACTGCTGTCACACCCCTCGCAGTCAGCAGTACGACTTCGCCCTGAGACATTGAGTAGCTGCGTTTAGTCTGATCGTTCTCCAATCGACCTGCATGGCATAGTAGAACCTACAGAAAGATGTTCCGGGTAATATAGCTCGGTTGGGTCATCACGATAGGCAAGCCCGCCCACAGCGTCAAGGTAGAAGCTACTGTCGGGTATGAGGGCATTTCGGCAAGTCAGTCAGTTACAACCTAGAACTTCGTACACACGTACATCAGTTCTGGTTACCATACCACATTAGCACAGAGACGCATTTTGTTCTAGGACCTGACGTTGTGTGAATATTTGTTCTATACATCCACGTCCAGGTCGAAAACCAGATTGGTTTTCTCTAGTCTGCTCTTCACGAGATTTCGTTAAGCGTCGGAGTATTATTGAGCCCAATATTTTAGATACTATATTAGTTAGACTCATTCCTCTGTGATTGTCACAAGAGGATTGAGACCACTCCCACTTCCCAGGTTCTACCTAAGATCTCAGTCAATTCAACTGTTAAAACTAGACCACCATCTTTGAAAATCTCAGGAGCGAGCATATCAGAGCCTACAGCTCTACCTTTATATTTCCTATAGCTTTCTCAACTACATAAAGACTAGGAAGACATCGGTTCGCCATTCAGGATGACTGGGGATCGTGAGCAACGAAAGAGTGGCTGAAGGCAAGTTGAATTGATCTCCATAGTGTTCTGTCCATCCACCCAATCTCCTGGGTTGAGAACAAATAAAAAGCCCATCTTTTTCTGAGATAGTTTCGCTAACAGATGGGTTACTAATACCAGTTTCTTTGATAAAGTGGGACAACTGTCCACTGTTACCCATCGCTGCTGCCTTTACCATAGCTCTTACTTTCTTTACCCACCACTGCTCGCGATCACTGCGTAGGCTTTTTATCCGCCTGCACTTATTCTGACTCTGCTCATCGTCATGTTCCAGAGCCTGGCAGAATGAGTTTTTGAGCACCTATCAGTTCGGTGGATGCTACTGAAATCCACGGTTTCATCCTAGCCTTATGGTTTACCTTGCTAGCAGATATCACTGCTTTTTCAACAGCCTTTTTGATATCATACGGTTTTATCTGTCATTATGTATTGCGTGACACTATTTAAGTAAAAAAATTAGTTTCCGTGAAATGACAGATATTCAATAATCATGAGTTTAACCATACGAAATTAGCGAAATTTCGCGGTGTCATTCGACAGATGTTTGCTGCACTATTAGTGTGAAATACATTATTACGTGATTTGTGCCTTGTGAAGATGCGGATATCGATGCAATTTAGGCACACACGATATATTATAAACAAGGATAGTTTGTAGATACCGTTACTTCATAATATGTAGATATGTTCTTGTGTAAAACTATTGCGGTAAATAAATTGAACAGTTTTATGTGATCCGTTTACAGACTTTATATTTATAAAAGTTATCACTGAAGTTCAAAATGCATTTCCACATACACGGTCTTGTTATAGTTTTTGATAGTCAATAAAAGATACATTTTATACTATGTAGACCTATGTACTAGTTGTTTAAAAGCAATCAGCTTACGATTAGTTAAGTTGAATAGTTAGGGAGCAAATAAAGAAATGTAGTCGATATGAATATGCACATCTGGTACATATAACAAAGTAGAAATAAGTAAACGTGGGAATAGTTTGTTTCTAAAAAAGGTTTAACAAAGAAAATCAATATCTTCTTGAAAATAAACAAAGAACACAGTATGCAATAGAAAAAAATATACTTATCGTGTTTTATTTATTCATTACGGACTAATATTAACATTGTTGTAGAAAATATCCTAGAAAATGTCCATTTGGAGTTGGCAAGAACAGTTGCTCACGCAATCGATGGAATCAACAAATCGATTGATACTAATTTTATTATAATTGAAACATAATGCCATGAGTTGTATGGTTTTATTTCGGTAAAAAATAATTACATGACGATAGCACGAACATTATCATTCTTGTAAAAATGATATGTATGAAATCAAAAATGCATGCCGAGTAGTGATGAAATTAAGTTTTATTTTTTCCTTAGTTACTTAAGATACAGTACATAAATAAGACAGGCATTTTTCAAAGATAGACTAGATTTTTAATGTGCCTATAATTACATTAAGATGATTGAGACGCGCAACGTGACAATCAAGTGATTGGGAGATAAAATCCGGAGTAAACGTAAACTAGTTATTGTCAACCACTGTGTATACTATATTACAATTTTAAGATGTGATGTCGTAATTGCGAAGATGTTTATTTGATAGGCTGAGTAAATTTAAACATATAAGGCTTTTCTGCAAAAGACAGACAGCTCAAATGCCATCTTATGGTGGAAAAACAGGTGATAAAGCTTAAACTAGACATGTTATAGTGAATGCTGAGCCATTATGGCTACATCAGGACGTCAATATACTAATCAAATACACAAGATGAAATCAAAACACTCACACAAGTCTCAAACGTCGCACTACTGACATCTAGCATGATAATGAACACAGTAACTTTGTCATACCATCACCTAAAAAGTGCAGGATAGGTTACCAGGGCGAATATTGATTCTTTAGTCTTTGGTGGATGGTTGTCCACTATCTTAAGTTTGTGCTGATGATGTTGTTCTGGAGAACGATGAAAGCTCCACAACCAAAACATCCAGCTCAGAGAACCAAACACCACCACTAAATCAGATATCTAACAACGATTTTTCTGCACTATGAAAAAAACACATCTGAGAAAAATAATTCTCAAAAACTCACAAAGTATGTGTCCCTTGAAAACACCGATCATAATCTCTGTATCGAACTTGATACTCATTTATTGCTGAATTGTTCAGTGATGGTTGGGTTGACAATAAGTCTGGAGTATTTGATGCAAGGTAATATAATGTTGTATTGATATCTTTAGCGTTTACAGCCCCAGGAGCATATGAATGACTAATAGTTATCCCTGATGTCCACAACTGACAAAACAAGAGAATGAAGTATACAATTAAATCAAACGATAGAAGTGTAGGAAGTTCACATTGTTTAAAATTTTATAACCTGATCAACACATAATTCTAATTTCGCAACGAATAAAAAAATGAGTGCATGACAACGTTGAAAAGGGTACTTAAAAAAAAAAGTAACCTTTTTACAGTTTGTCATTAAACTAGTGAACGGAACAAAGTCGGTTAACTTGTCATTAAATACAGAGGACAAATCTTGGTGAAAGTTGAACGTCTTGACCAATAAGTTACTTATGCATGCTTGTCTAACACCACCAACCTCAACAGTCAATGTTGGGCGATATAGGGTGAAAAGAGGGGTAAGGAAATCAAAACATTGAATCAGTTCATGTGATATTCATGGTTAACCAACAAGCCTGATGCACGTGTACACCGCTGCCTTTTAGGAAACACAAGGATTCTCACAAATGCCAATTTTGCGATCACCCCTGCCCCATACGGGAACGCACATGTTGTCTAGATTGGTCTGCAGACAAGTGGACGTCTAAAAAGCACGAGCACGAGCAGTAACCCCGTTCGGGCACCTATGAATCAACTCGATCCCTCGCCTTGTGACCATGAACATGTGCCATTATTCTGGGCCATGCTAGGCAAAGCATCCTAAGCGTTCGGAACGGCTTTTAGCCGCAGCGCTGTAAACAAAGCCACGTTGCCTGGCAGGACCACGAATAGGTAGCCGCCACCACAACCCCAAAAAGGCTCCATTTATGCAAGCCACCTAATATATCCATTCAATTAGATGACGAGGCATTTGGCTACCTTAAGAGAGTCATAGTTACTCCCGCCTGGTGTCGCTGTCAAGATGTAGTATATGACTTTCGACTTCCTAGTTGAAACCTGCATAGTAGTCATAAACTATGGTTTGAAAGGTTAAAAAGAGTGGTCCAAAACCTACTAAATAACGTAGATGAATTAATTCTTTATCGACCTGCAAATTAACTGTCTTTTCATATAAGTCTGAAATCTGCTTCTTTTTTATGTCAGGTAACACTTTTAGCTAAAACATACGATAACGGTGATTCAAAATCGTGGTGTTAGTCTATGAACGTAGGATTGAGCTGTGCAGGTAGGTGTATATTACCTTGTTGGAGTCAAAGCGATTATCCTAACTAATAATGAGAGATATTAGTGGACATGGAAGAGAACCGATTAGAACGGCACAAATGTATTCACTCTTCATCTTTTTTCATACTGTAAGTTTTAAAAATAAGATTTCTTTCAAAAATGTTTTCCTTTTTTTCTCCAGTAATCTATATTTTTCTTTAGAATCGGTTTTTATGAGCAGAATTCTCTCCAATACCACTAATAATGTTAAAACATTCGCTATCGTACGATTTGCCTGAACAATTTCCAATTATTGCCAATCATATTTGAGCTAAGGTATTCACATATAAATGAGACATTCGATCCAGCTTTAATTTTAATTGTATTCTCTTGATGTTTAACACACTCATCTTTATTTCTTGTATGCTCATTAAACAGTTGTTTATGGGTAACAATTTCTTTATTTTATGTGTATAGTTTTCGCTTTGATTTGCTTGGTTATCACTACTAGGTTGGAAATGTTATCGGCTGTTACTCACTTTATCGTACAATTCGGCAAGTGACAAATACTACAACAGTCACTTTTGCGGTCATATCTAGGTGCATATAAACGTTTTGTAAAAATCACTAATTGGGGTTTGTAAAGAGCATTACTTTGTTATCATCGATAATATATTACTGTTTAATAAGTAAACCATTTGATTTGAGATTTTATGTGTGATTCAATTGCTTGGTTTGAATCCTAGAATGGATTTGTGAGAAACGCATCCCTCGCGAGATATCTCACAACATCAGTGTTAAAAAATCTAATGACAGGATGAAATATTTGCATTTTGATACGAATTCACTTAAGGTTGATGGTATATGTTAACGGAGCCACTACATTATTCAAGTAAACTAGTTAACTAAACTAAACCAAATCGTATTTAACATTGAGAGAGTTAAACCGTTTATTTATTTGCCAATCTTCATAGAATCAATTAGGAGAGCTTAGTACTCAGCATTGTTATATACTCTTTCTTAAAAACTCTGGTTTTAATCTACTTTTAAAAAAGGTTTCTTGCTGCGGTAGATGCTACTGGCAAAGTGGCTTATAAGTAGTATGCAGCGTATTATCGCATGGAAGTCACGATCGGAGAGAGGTGTCAGGAAATCGAAGTGCACAAAGTGGTCACAGTATTTTGAAGACCATAAAAAGAGTGAGAAGAAAATCAATAACCTGCTCCAATTGCAAATAGATGGTTGGACTACGAATATATATTTCGTGAAGTGTCTTCTACAAATTTCACATCGTCTTGACCTGTTCGTATGCTACGTTGCTATAGAAGCGCAATTTAATTTGATGATCGATATTCTAATGCCATGTATGTACATGGATAATCATGTCAACATTTTCAAGCGACTGTGATTTTATATATTCGTTTTTTAAAGTATTTGATGCATGGTATTTAGATTAATTATTTGGCTACGGAAACTAATATAACTGCAGAACCAGTGAACAAAAGTGGAGGGTCAGTGTTTAACGTAACTGGACTTCAAATTCACAAACAATCACTGCACTTCCTCTGATACTTTTTAAGGTAACTATGTTATATTTACCTACGGTTCGTGACAATGTATGTGTTTTAATAAACTGATTGACGATACCCTGTATATTAATAGAGATAATAGTAGAAGAGGTAGTAAAGGTATTAGAAATAATCGGAGAGGTTACGATCAGAAGATATTATTCAAGAAGTATGATTCAATGAGAAGAGTTAAGAAAGTCAAAACTAGAGGGGTTGAAGAATCCAGAAGATTAGGATTTGAGAGAACACAAAGAATAAATGCACCGGCGCCATTGCAAACGGTTTTGAGCCATGTCATTCAGGGTCTCTAACCAACGATTATTATCATCTCGCGGAACCCAACAAGGTAGTCGACAACTACCGACATGACTCAGTCCACTTGTCAATGACTTCATGGATTTCTGCCATGTTTTGCTTTGGCCGCCCCTAGCTTTCTTCCAACCTACTACAAAAACAGAGCTCGTCGAGGCAATCGTTGGTTAGGCATAGGCAGCACATGTCCCAACCACCTCAACTGATGAAGTTTCATTACTTCATCTATTGATCTGCCATTCTGACCTAGCACCCGTTTCCTAATAACAGCGTTGCTCACTCGGGTGTCCCAGGATATACGAGCAGTGCTTCGAAGACACCTATGATCGAAAACCAGTAACCCACGAATATCTTCTACTTTCACTAGCCATGTTTCACAGCCATAAAGTAGGACGGAGCGAACTGCTGCTTAGTACACTCGTCCTTTAGTTAGCAAACGGATATCTCGTGTGGGTGTAGGAAGGATTTGATTACGGAAAATTTGGTCTCTCGTGTGCTGTTACGGGTATGAGGGCGGTAGTCATTTTCCTGCTGCCCACACCATGGAAGGTTGTTTCTTTGAGGGACCTGAAAATGAAGTCAGATTAGTGTTAGTCTTAGAGACCTGGTTGCGTGACCGTAGAGCCCAAGGGACAACTGCTTGAGACCGGTGACGCACGGCCTTTTTATTAAAGGTTTTGTTACTCTTGAAACCCCTTAGTGGGCACCCTTACCACCGGAGATGGAAATCCGTGAGTTAGGGTGAGGTGTTACATTTTTAAGGTCGACGTTTTCTAACCCTTCCCTCCTTATGAGAAGGCAGCATCGCTGCAGATGCTGGTTATCTGAGGGAAACACCTTACTGCTGTCACACCCATCTGCGGTCAGCAGTACGACTTAGCCCTCAGATCTTGAGTAGCTGCTTTTAGTCTGATCGCTCTCCAATCGACCTGCCTGGTATGGTCGAACCTTGAGGAACATATGTTCCAGTCAATATAGCTTGGTTGGGTCATCACGATAGGCAAGTCCGACCACCACGTGAACGTAGCAGCTACGGTCGAGTTTTATAGACTTTATGAAAATAGAGTTATTATTTAACGAAACTTTTCGAATTAAACCATTCGAATAAAAGAAAAGATACTACAGGAACTGCTGATCTTTAAAAGAGATCTAATCTATCATTATAATTTAATTTATGCTTGTTTGTGATTCCGATTTTAATTTCTGGATGATGCATAAGTAAAAAGAAAAGAAATAGTCACAGAAAAATTTGCCAATAAATGTATTCATCAAGATGCATAACTGAACACTCATTTGAGTAAAGAATATCGCCTTAATAGTTGGTAAATTACTAGATGGCACAATACTAACTACATGTGATAATTATTTTCATCATATAAACTATAAAATTGTTTACATTTTTACAAACTTATTATTATTATTAGGACAAACTTACGAAATTCCAAGCTTCAGTATGCTCTTTACGTAATTCACGTTCGGGATAACTCAAGGCAAATACCAACTCAGATGATATTAACGATTCCAGTCGTGTTCGTTCTTTGGCCAGGTGGCCAATATCTGATTTGAATTGAAGCAAATCGTGCTCAGTGACGAGTATTGGTTGACCAGACACCCGGATACCAGTAATAAAAGTATATGACTGTGTTCTGTATAGAGATGGATTGAAATGATGAAAAAAATCAGCTTGAAACCAATATGGATCTATGAAAATATAGAAACCAGATGATCTTCATCCGATGAAACAATCGCACAACTCAATCATCGATACTCAGGTCAGTCGGCGATCAATATAAACGTCGAAATTGACCCAATTTATCAAACTTTCGGAAAAGTCATGGACAAATATAAGATCAAGAATCAGGTCAAAGGGATAGACAATCAAAGAAAATATTCACACAAGTTAAAGGCCAACAGTAACCATTTAAACTCAATAACAACATGAAAAGCCATTATAATTAGAGAAATTAGGATAACCCATTCCTAGCTGATGTTTGTGCCGATATTGTTCAACAGAACAATCAAATCTGGACGATTAAACTATAGATCAAAATTACAATGATAACTGAAGTAATTCTGCGAAAACAATATAAACGAAGAAAATTTCATTGATTGTCAAAAAATTACAAAAAAAACTCGAGGTTTTTAGAAAGTTTCATGTAGCCTATAAACCGAGTAGAGGGTTTATGTGTTCGTCATTCTTTTAGTGGAGACCAAAGACTTTAGTCAGCTGCCAAAATTGACGTCGATGGAGTGGGATTCAATTCGGAAGCCTAATGACTGAGGTTTGAAGACTTTACCATTAAGACATCGTTGCATGCATAATAAAAATAATAGAAATTAGTGAAGTATGGCTGTTTGATTTCAAATCATTAATTATCTACCACAATAATTATAATCTAGTAACATGGTGAGACTTCACTTAATACTCGTCTGTTGTTGGATTTGAAATGATTAAATCTGGTGAGTGAGTTATCAGATAGAAAATCTAACTTTTAAAAAATTTGGAATTTTACCAACCTAAATTTCAAACTGCTAAATTTTCAAAATTGTTTGAAACATTATACTACTTTATTTGACTTCAGTAGCTTAATTGAAAAATACGGAAATAAGATAGTCGTGTTCTGCATGTTTTACATATAAGTGATCAACGAGTATCAGAAGTTACATTACAACGAGAAACTACGATGATCGGAATAAGTGGCAAACATACTGTTATTTTTTGGAAAATTTTGTAGTTTTAAGAAAATTCACTAAAACAGTTAATCAGAAGATAGTGTTTAAAAGAGTTCATCAAACCTGAAAATGTTTAAAACCAACAAAAATCCGACTGACCCATGGTTTAGTAATTACAGTCTTTAAGAATCGCTCCGACCAACTTGCTCGAACGTATAACGATCATAAATCATTGAAATACAGATATGAATTGGATGAGAAACTGTTGTCATATTTCGTTTCCAAAATATACTAGATGAAATACATCTATAGAGAAACAATTTCCTACATCCCCACAAAATTCAGTGAATGATGACTAGAGATAATACGAAGTCATAGCTTGAGGATTCGGTTAACTAAGTTCTTGGTTAAGTCACTGAATAAACCTAACAGAACTAATAAGACTTTATATAGTTGGTAAGCATTTTTAAAGACAGAAGTAGTCCGAAGTTCAATATGTGAAACAGTAAGGTTTATAAACAAGATACAAGTTGGTAGTAGTTTCCGTTCTTCATTTAAGGGTAGGGTACATTAAAAGAATAAGTATATTATTATGGATGTACACGAATAATTTTGTATAGATGGGTAAAGTAAAATGGAGGAAGAATTCATCCGCGATAGGCTACGGTTGAAAGTATGAGTTACGTAAAATCGATTTACCCGAACATTTGAGAAATCGTCATCGTGATGTGAAGGGAG